AAAGGCCAGACCCCAGGGAATACACCAAAAAGGAACCAACTTGGAAATCTGTAGGTAACCTGCCAACCTGTGATCATCTCATAAAGTGCTTTCCCACAACTTCAACAGAAACTGTCTCCACTTCCTACTGGTGGAATCTCTAGAGCAAATTCTCAACCCTGACTAGTCCTCGGAGGCAACCAGGCAGCTCAGCTGATGTTCTTAGAGCCTCACCAGCAATTCTGAATACTACAGGACTCAAATGTAATGGATAGAAAGACAGGTAAATAAATAGGGAAGATGAATCCCCAAAGCTCCTAGCTTTTGTTTACTTTCAGCTTATTTATATATCCTGAATTATGGTGCATTACTATAAAGCAAGCAACATTTGAGAAGGCAGATTTAGTATATGGGTCGAATTCTTGAAAGGACAGTGTTATTGTAGATCCTAGGACTTAGCCATTTACATGTAGAAAAGCAATTTATATATCATGAATTTTACAGAGCTTATAGGGTAATATAACTAATACTATATTACACTACCATGATAATCCTAAAATATTATTACCATGCCTAAGTCTGTATGGTAATGCATACAGAATGTACATCCAGTATAATCCCAAATACAAAAAGTAAAGCCTTTAGGTTAGAAAGAACAGAGTGAGGACATGAACACCCTGTCACTTTGAGGCTAAGATCCAGATAACATATAGAAATGGGAAAGGAGATACATCTGTCATGTCTTCCAAAATGAGCTGAGGACATCTGCAGCTTCTGCCATCATCTCACTGTAGCACAACGGCAAAAACAGATGTAAAAATAGAAGTGATATATTCAACTATTAACAGTGAAGCAAAACTGAATATAGCAGCCTGCAGCAGCGCTGACGTAAAATGGGGAACAGCTTCTTCTGGGGCAGGCTGTCTCGAGTGGACAGTGTGCCAACAAACTAATGATGTTCTCTCCATCCGTGTCATCCCTGACGTCTTCAGAAGGGATGAGGAGGAGGAGACAAGCGAGAAGGTCACAAACTGACTGCAGCAAGTGATATTCTCCTGACTGCAAAGTGAAGGAGCCCATTTGTTGGGAAGGAAACCCCTCCCCCTGGGAGTGCACCACCCACTGCAGCGCCTCCTAATGAAGTTCTTGGGCAGGCACACAGCTGTGTGCAGCCTTCGGGAGCTGCAGTAGGGAGAGTGCTGGACAGGGGGACAGGAGAGCACAGAAAAAGATGAGGGAGATTCTAGTGCCAGGAAGTGACCACGTGGGTTTCCTGTCAGTGTCACCTCTGCTCCACTGGGGAGGAAGCTGGGAGCCCATTTGGCAGGTTCTGCAGAGCAATTCACAGGAAGAGAGGAAGACCCTCTATCAGGAGAATATTTTCATTAACGGAGCGCCTGGAGCTTTCTGGTTGTTTATTATTACTTGACTTTATTTTTTTCTAAATTGAGACATCATTCATATATCATAAAACATTCTCTCTAAACATGTATACTTGAGAGTTTTTAGCATGCCACGAGAACTGTTCAACCATCACAGTAATTGCAGAGCATTTTTTATCACCACAGAAAGGAACCCTTACCCATTAATAAGTCACTCCCCCAACCTCTCCAGCTTCAGTTTACTTTCTCTTTCTATGGATTTGCCTATTCTGGATAGTTCATATAAATGGAATCATACTGAATGTGGCCTCTTACGCCTGTTTTCCCCACTTATCGTGAGGTTTTCAAGATTCATCCATGCCATAGCATGAATTAGTACTTTATCCCTTTAAAGATAATAACTTATTATCTAATAATTTAGCCACTTAGACAGTGGCATCTGGCACATTCACAATGTGGTACAACTTCTATATGTTTTAAAATCTTCCCATCACTGCAGAGTAAACCCCCTTACCCATTAAACAGTATCCCCATTCCCTCCTCTAGCCCAGAAACCACCCATCTCTGGGCTTTACCTATTTGGGGAATTTCATATAAGTGGAATCATATAATATGTGACCTTTGTGTCAGATTTCACTTAGCATTATGCTTTGGAAGTTTATTTTTTTCACAACACGTGTTAGGTATTCCTTTTAATTGTCAGTAATATTCCATTGTATAGCTATATCACAATTTGTTTATCCATTCATGTATGGATGAACACTGGATTGTTTCTAATTTGGAATAATGCTACTATGAATATTTGTGTACAAGTCTTTATGTGAATACATGTTTTCATTTCTCTTGGGTATATATCTAAGAAGTAGAACTGCTGGGTCATATAATTCTCTATATTTTACTTTTCCAGGTACTTCTGGGCTGTTTTCCAAAGTGATTGTATTATCTTACACTTCTACCACTACTGTATAAGAGTTCATATAAATGGAATTTCTCCAAATCTTACATAACATTTGTTACTGTCTGTTTTTGACTTTGGCTTTCCTAGTGAGTGTGAAGTGGCCACACTGTGTGTTATTTTTTTTTTGTTTTAAAATCAAAGCCACCCCTATACATAGTTTAAAAAGATAAGGCTCAAGTATAGATGCTCCATTCCTCTCCATTTCCATTTCCACAAGGCACATACTTAAAATTCTTTCAGTGGTTTCTTCTGGTATTTATCTTATATTTCTTGTATTATGCTTCCACTGTTATTTTAAAATCCATTTTAGATATTATCTCTTGACCTCCAACTATAAAAGATGAGCATTTATTTTATGTGCACAAAAACACATACTCATTTTATCCTTCCTTCTTTGCAGTATGATTATAATCTTCATTTTTGGTTAAATCAGTAATTGGCATTTACATTGTTATGATTATGCATTTATAGCCATGTGATGTACAAAGATTCTACTTTACTTAATCATACTTTCCCCCCCTTAGATTTCAGATGACCTAGGAGGAAAAATCTGCCTCATGTTTTCTATTTCCTCAATTTTCTACATACCAATTACAAATTCATTTTCAAATTCTGCAAGAAGACTAAAAATCACTCTCTATATATTCAAACACATTGGATGTTCTATTTCTTTCTTTTTGGGGGGAACATGTAGCCAAAGCTCATTAATATTTGTTGAAGGAATGAATGAAGATAACCAGCCAGAACAAAGACCTAGAGCCAGAAAAAAATAATAACAACAACAACAACAACAAAAACCTTAGACATTACTTCTTCCCCCCCTGACCTTCTGGGTTACAGTATTTACAAGATGGGTTCACTTTAGAGGTGAGAGACATTCCAGGCCCAGAGAAGTGACTGGACTTGCCAAAGCATGAGAACAAGAGTTCAGAAGGAACAGGGCTGGAACACCAGTCTTCTGGGCCTTAGGGCCCCTACATCAGGTTGCTTCCACAGAAAACAAAGGGCATTTATCCTGAAGCAGATGTGGACTTTGGATCTTTATCCTTTAAATATATTCAATTCCCTGAAACCTAAAAAGTAACTGCTTGTGCTAAGAATCCAAAAGAAAGGGCACAAAGAGTATTATCATAATTTGTAAACCCTCTTAGTGCTCATTGCTGCATTTAATATCCTCAAAGCTATAAATCAGTCAAGATCTATGAAATCCAAACTTTCCACATGAAATTACTCTGAGGATTATTACTATTAATTTGAATTTGAATATTGCCAAGTCTAGTTACTTCCTAACAAAGTCCCATGCCCAAGCAGTGCTGCGTATGATTGTGGCAGGGAGGAATTGCTTTGGTCTGACCAGCATCTACTTCCCCATCCTCGGATAAGAGTTCTTTGATTTTTATTTGATACCAGGGATGGGTATTTGATACCATGGTGTGGAACATGATGTCAGCATAGAGCTGCCATGGATCATATTGGGAGAGGACCTGCCTGAGCTCAAGGGCCATACAAAGAAAGCAGAACTGACAGGGACAGCACATGAAAAAGTCTCCATACCCTGCTGCGTCTTCAAACTTTCCAACAGTGTGTGCAAATAAAATCCTGTATTTGGATTGTGCTTCTGCTGCTTACAACCAAAAGGAGTAATGACTTACACAGACATTGTAAGGAGAGGTTGAGCCACTTCTGAGTATCAACCTCCCAAACTCATGTTTTGAGACAACTGGGACATTAATTTCATATTAATTTCTTGTACTTATATTTTTCTAAATGTATTTGTTTCTATTACATCATCTGATTCCCCAGGATTTTTTTTTTGGGGGGGGGTAAATGATCCACTTTTTAAAGTTGTGTCTCAGCATAAAAACAACTCAGAACATATTTTATAAATTATCACATATAACTTCCTTACAAATAAAAACCCTAACATTTTTCTTTTTCCTCCACTCTAGTTTCTTCTCCCTAAATTTACTTACTTTTCCAAGTCAGCTCTTTTAAATTTTAATACTAGACAATTCTTATTTCTGTAGCTATAGGGGAACCACACATCTTTGTTCTAACTGGTTTCATTCCTACTTTGTAGCCATGACTTTTCCACTCAGCACACTTGTCCCTCCACAGTGTCTTACACAAAAAATGTCCGGGTGGATTCCACAGACCGTCTTTGGAACACCTAAGGCCTATGATTAAAGTAGGGGTGAGGGTCTCCAGCCCTGCTTTCTCATCCTCCAGGCACTATCCAGTCATGGCCAATGATGTAGGATTATACTTACTTATAAGATATAGCTATTTGTATACTGTCCAGAGTCCAAGCTTCAGGACAGAATTCACCTGTTCTTTACTAATGCTGAGCATCTAGCATATGACTGGCATGTGGTAGATATTCAATAAACATTTATTAATTGAATAAATGAAAATAGGCAATACAGGTATAATTTTACTGATATTTTGATTTTATGGATAAGGAAACTGAGGCACAGAGACTTTTAGTGACTTGTATAAAGTTCCACAGTGAGTTAGAGAGGGGTTAAGATACAGTTCTCCTGCTTGGTTGTTCTTCTCTTCTACCACATCACTTCCTGAGCATATATCCCATTATCAAAAAATTCAGGTATAATATCTTAGTTATTAAATAAATCAAGATTTTCAAGTGCCCAAAATGATTCTTAAAGTTTAAGACCTACCGTGGTATCCACAGCCTTGACCTTTTCTGTAGGAATGTGCTTTGGGACAGGTTCTGTCTGGGACAGCAACACACATCCTTTGTCCCCCAGGGTGATGATTACGACCTTGCAGCCCCTTGCCAGGAATACCGTTGCAGCCTTCCCAGCCTCCTCTGGGTTGTCCACCGTGAGGCCTGTTAAAGTCTCAGCCTGGAACACACAAAGGAGAAGAAACAGTGTTGAGAATGAGTAACTCAGATCCACTTCCAGATTTGCTTTTCTTAACACAAATGCAATGGGAACCTTGATGGATACCAGCGTAGGAAAATAAACAAGAGAGAACAATAACAATGACAACCAAAACTAGCTAAAAGACATTCTTGGGATAATCAGGGAAATATGAATGTGGCTCAGATATTACATGACAGTATAGAATTATTGAGAATTTTTTTAAGCGTGATAGTGGTATTGTGGCTCCCTGTAGGAGATGCATACTGAACTTACTGTCAATGAAAACACAATTCTTATTTTTAGTTACTTTTTAATAAAAACAAAACCCAAATATATCCTCGGGAGGGAGAAGCAAACAGCAAAATGTTAGTACCTGTGTAGGTGGAGTGTTCACTCTATTACTCTTTCAGCTTTTCTGCTCATGGAATAATTTTTAAGAAAAAGAGAACAAAAGGAATTCTACAAATAGAAGAAGGAAAGATGGGAAAAAGAAAGAAAAAAAAGAGTCATTGCCAATGATGTAGGATGAAACTGTACATATATATATATATATATATATATATATATATTAGCATCTAAGGATATGATTCTTCCAGGTGTCTCCCGGGCCATGGTGCTTTCTCAGTTACTAGTTAACTGGTTACTAGCCTTCCCTGGCTGCAGATGACTCACTTTTTTTGCTCAGTTGTTTATACTGGAGCCGCTGAAGGCAGAGAAGAGAGGCACTGATGGCAGAAGCCCTGGCATTCACTGACTCTGTGACCTTCCCTGGGTCACTATCCAGTATCTCCAAGGAATCTCTCTGGTTCTGAGATAGGTAGTTAAAAACCACTAGAGGAATTACATGGTACATTTTGACTCAGAAAGTAGATAAATTCTCTGTTTTTGCTATTACAATTTAACCATACACTACCTCTTCTGGAGAATGGATCTGTCTTCTTTGTGTTTGCTCATGCCCAAATCAATGCTTTTGTCATCTATAAATCATTCCATAAGTGTCTGCTCATCCTGAGTTTGCATTTTCCCAGTAGCACAGGTTAGCGCATGCTTCACCAACTTGACCATGGACCCCCCTCTTACCATCTTTTGTGTAGACCTTTTTAGTCTGTGTTGGTTATTCTTTGAGGTCTTTCTTTCTCCCCACTACTGGGGACCAAACCCTGGGTCTTTTTTTTTTTTTTAATAATTTTTTTTTAGTTATAGTCAGACACCACATTACCTTCATTTTATTTATTTATTTATTTTTATGTGGTGTTGAGGATCGAACCCAGCACCTTGCATGTGCTAGGTGATAGTGCTACTGTTGAGCCACAACCCCATCCCAAAACCAGGGTTTACGTGCAAGTACTCTACCACTGAGCTACATGACCAGCCCTTTTTGTTTTATTTTGATACAGGGTCTCACTAAGTTTCCCAGTTGGCCTTGAATTTGTGATCCTCCTGCCTCAGCCTCCTGAGTAGCTGGGATTATAGATGTATGCCACTGTGCCCAGCTTCTGATACTATTTTTTTTTAAAAAATAAATTTTGCATTGGTCTTCCTTACTGGAATCACTTACGTCTATTGAGTTGGATGGTCTCTTTTCAGAAATATCAACTTGTGTCTTTAAAAACTTTTTTTTAATTTAAATTTTATTTTTGCAATACTGGGAATTAAATCTAGGGATACTCTACCCTTGAGCTATATCCCTATTCCTTTTCATTTTTTGTTTTGAGAGAGGCTGTTGCTAAGTTGCCCAGGCACATATCCATCTTGTGATCCTCCTGTCTATCTCCCAAGTAGTTGGGGTTATAGGCAGGCACCTCTACTCCTGGCCTTCTAGAAACCTTTTAAAAACTACTGTTTAGGGCTGGGGTTGTGGTTCAGTGGTAGAGCATTTGCCTAGCATGAGTGAGGCACTGGGTTTGATCCCCAGCACCACATTAAAAAAACTAAATAAACTAAATAAAGGCATTATGTCCATCTACAACTAAAAATATTTTTAAAAAACCAAAAACTATTGTTTAATGAAAAAAATCTTTTAACATAGGAAATAATGCAACCAGCATCCATTTACCTATCACAGATTTTAACAAATTTTAACATTTTATTTGATTCAGATACATTATTATTATTATTATTATTATTATTATTATTATTATTAGGGATTGAACCCAGGGCCTTACACATGCCAGCAAGCAGTCTACTATCAAGCTACATTCCCAGCCCAAGACAGTTTTCTTTAAAGAAATTAAATGTCTCTCACATAATATTGTTCAACAATTTTTTTTCTCTTGTGTTGGTGATATGATTATTCTTGCCATTTACATTTAATCTTATTTTTCTCTCTGATCATTTAAAAATATTTTTGTTTTTATTCCCAGTTTTATGCAGTTCCATTAAAATGTACCTAAGTAGAGAATCAGATTTGTTTATTTTACATGGCATTTTTTTAATATGTATTTTTTTGGTTGTAGGTGGACACAATACTTTTATTTTTCTGTGATGCTGAGGATCGAATCCACTGCCTCACACATGCCAGGCTAGCGCCCTACCACTGAGCTACAGCCCCAGCCCTCCATGGCACTTTTATACACTTTTGACCTGAGGACTTGTGTCTTTTCTCAGTTTTAGAAAGCACCTTGCAGATTTTCCTCCAGTATTGCTTTTCTTGAGTTCCCACAGTTCTCCTTTTACTCCAATTAGATGCAATGGGGCCCCTCAAACCTCTATCTCTCTTTAATATTCTTCTTTAATATTTAAAATACTTTTCTTTCTGCCCTGCTTTCTTGGTGAACTGAATTTTCTATCTCGAACCCAGGGCCTCAAATATACTAGATAAGCACCCTATGACTGAGCTACATAACCCAGTCCTAATGTTTGTTTATTTACTTATTTATTTGAGTAATTTTTAGTTGTAGATGGACACAATACTTTATTTGTTTTTATTTGGTGCTGAGGTTCGAACCCAGTGCCTCACACGTGCCAGGCAAGTGCTCTACCACTGAGCCATAACCCCAGCCCACCTAATGTTTATTTTTTCATGAATGATGTAAAATTTTTTTCAGTGACCACTTTTGTTTTCAAGATGTCTAATGAGTTGTTTCTCATATTTACATATTATTGCTTTGATTCTGTTTTTCTTTCACAATTTCTTCTTCAACAAACGTTAATCATGTTTACTTTACAGTCTTTCCTTGCATTGTTTTATTATTTGAATTTCCTCTTCAGACTGCCGACTCTGCTGGTTGCTGGTGTGTCTGCTGCTTTGTGCGCAGGCTCACTCTCCTTGCTGTCGGAAGGAGAGTCTTCATAGTTCACCTCCCACCTGGCCGATCTCTACCTTTCCAGAGGTTTTAGGGTTCTATTTATCAGGCATCCACGGATCTCAAAACCAGAGCAAGGTAATATACTGGTCATAAAGAGTTCCTGCTCTGCAGTGATTGGGACACTGACAATGAAAACTCTTAAGTCATTGTTGGTTTCCCTCCTCCTCAGAGGCAGTGTCTCGGTCCCTCCTCTGGTGGGAGCCTTAAATATTGTAGCCTTGTGGAAGGGGTAGCATCTTCTTCCACCTCTTATTGTTCACAGGCCAGCCAGGCCAGCACGCGTGGTTTCCGGCTGTGGGCACCACTCGTCTCCCCATGTGGTCCACTTTTAGTGCCGGTTACCTAAGGATGTGAGATGCCCATCACTCTCCCAGTTTCCCGGCTTCCTGTACAGCACACCAAGGGCTGAATGCTCTGTGAGGCTGTTATAATTTGATCTGTAGACTTATTTAATTTTATTTTGAAGCTTCTATCTTTTTATTGTTTTTGTGTGTGTGGTGCTGGGATTAAATCTAGTAGTACTCTACCACTGAGCTATATCTAGCCTTTTTAATTTATTTTGAAACAGGGTCTTGCTAAGTTGGCCAGGCTGGCCTCTAATTTGCAATCCTCCTGCCTCAGTCTCCAGAGTTGCTGGGATTACAAGTGTCCCACTGTGCCCAGCTCATTGTTTCTTCTCTTTCCTTTTTTAAAAAATATCTTTATTGTAGATGGACATAATAACTTTATTTATTTATTTTTGAATGTGATGTTGAGGATTGAACCCAGTGCCTCACACATACTAGGCAGGTTCACTACCACCGAGCTACAACTCTAGCCCCATTTTTAAAAAAATACTTATATATCAATGATTTGGGTTTGAAACAGAGGCAATATTTTAGGCATGAATGTACATTATTAGTGAGAATTATTTGAATCAATCTATAAGAACATTAAAGCTTTTAAAGTTTTTCTTTTTTTTGATAGAATTTTTGAAACTAATTTTCTTAAAGACCAGTGTTCATGCATTTAATAAGCATTTACTAGGCGCCAACTTTGTAAGGTACAATGTAGCAGATGTTATTTTCCAAAGATAACCATACGAATGTTGTGCATGCACTTTTTACACTATGACAATGCAGTCTTCTGTTGAGAGATGGGGTACCAGGGTGAACCTTCCTTCTTCAACCAACACAATGGGACAGAATGATGCTAAGTAAAAGGCCAACATGACTTCTGTCTGTTGCACTCTCTCTTTCTCGATGCTGGGATCTGGGAAAACAGCTACCATATTGTGAGGAATCCCAGGACACAAGGAAAGGCCATGTATAAGTGGCCCACAGCCCTATCATGCCCCCAGCTAACAGCCAGCACCAAACTGTCAAGCATATGCATGAAAAAGACTTCAGATAATTCCATCCCTCAGCCTTTGAGTCTCCCACAGAGGGCCCAAACATTATGGAGCAGAGATAAACCATACTGTGTTCTGTCTGAATTCCTGATACATGGAAACTATGAATGACGATAATTATTGTTATAAGCCAGTTCATTTGGGGGGTAATTTATTACTCAGCAATTGATAACATATACACATAGGGATGGCTACCGGGGATACAAGTGAATAAGACAGGTGCCCTGTCCTTATGGAACTTATAATTTAATGGAGAAGATAGGAGGACTGAATAAATAAATTTAGGCTGTGATGAGTGTTTAAAGAATACCTAGAGTGCTGTGTAAGTATCTAGCAGGGAAATCTGAGCCAGTTTGGCAGTTGAGGGTAATGTAACCTTTTATTGTGAAATGGTCACTCTCTCCCACAATTCCTTTTTCTTAGTCCAATGCCTCGCTATGTTGGTTGCTCGAAAATATTGCATAACCTATTGTGGTTTGTTAAATTAGTTTCCATGTAGCAGTCTTCTTTTTTGTGTCCTCTATGTTCTAAAAGATGAAATTATCAAAAAAGCAGGTCAAGAAATCTAGAGACTTTCATTCAGCCTTTGAACTAAATGGTAAATGACCTTACAGTTCATTAATGATGTTCTCTATGCGCATGTTGCATTTGCCAATGTGTTTGCAGGTCCTGCATCCCAATCATGGGAGAGAGCTCTGGTCTAATGCTGTCTAACCTATAAAAAGAAAGAAATACTGAATTTTCTTCCTAAAAATACTGACAATACCCTCATATCAACATACTGGGAGAGATTTTGTGCAGATGTGTACATTATGACCCTCAGATGGACTCAGAGGCCTCCACCCTCATGCAGTGGCCCCCAAGGACTTTGCTGCGGCATCATGAAGAACCTTTGTCTGTCCACCAGTGCTGTCACGGGGTCTCACCACAGAAGGCAGCAGTCACGCCAGGAGTTGTATACTAACTAGGGTCATTAGATAAAACACAGGAAGCTCAGCTAAATCTGAATTTCAGATAAACAACCAATAATTTTATAGTGAAAGTATGTTTGGTATATTATTCACTGACTATCTGAAATTCAAATTTATCTGGGCATCTGTATTTTTATTTGCTCAACCTGGCAACTCTAATGCTAATTAGTTCACAGAATATGAAATAATTAGAAAAGAAAACAAAACACCAGAGTGTGAGGGCAGGAAGGGGACTAACTAACGGATTTGATAAGTACCACATTAAGGAGGTGACTCAAAGAATTCCCCCAACCCCCAGAACTTACTGATTTCTTTTTCTTCACACCCCAGCAAACTGAAAAATCTGTGTTCATTATGTCTAAGACACGTGTGATCCAATCGATGTAGTTCATCCTGCCTCTGCTTTATCCCTTTACATGCAAGTCTTCCAGTTTCTCAAAGAATGGCCACCCCAGTTCATCCTTACCTCGCTTTCATTGCAACAGAACACGTCCGAGAGGCTGTAGAACTGCGGATCCAGGTCAGCAATGGCAGGAGCTGGATTGAACAATGTTTTCACTACAAAGGAATGGGAAAGAGGTTCGATGGTTATCATTTTTAACATGGTGCATTTACAGACATTTGGTAGGACAAATCCCTGATTGCAATCATGTTTGCATTCATCCGATTAAATATCCATTTAGTACAGATGTGGAGAAGTCTGAAATCTCAGTCTCCATGATAGTTGAGCACCAGTGCCTTCTTATTTCCATTTCCTCTACTTTTTTACTTTACATTTCAGCTTCAAGGGCAAGCATCGATATTTACAGCCAAGGTGATCACAGAGTTAAGGTAAGGGCAGGGAAAACATTAAAGAGGAATAAAGATGTTGTGGCATGAAAGGTTGTGAATGAGTCTGAACAGGTGGGTGAAGATTTTTGTGGGTTCCTGTAAGTGCTTAGTTGCAAGGCTAGTTCATAAATCCATTTTCTAGGAAAGAAAAAAGAGATCACAGAAAAGAAACAATGAAGAGTTCAAAATTTTCCTGAATTGAGTAGTATGAGGAAACTCAGGTACATATGTATATTTTATATACCCATGTGTGCTTCCCAAATATGTTACATCACACAGACACACACACAAGCTTACCCTTTTGGCTTTTGTGAGCAATCTGGGAATGTTAAAAAAAAAGATTGAGAAAGGAGGAGAAATTAAGTCAGAGGCTGAGTGCTGGCTCAGACTAGGAGGTGACTCGAGAAGGATGGATGGAGGTAACTATAGTGGGCAAAGGAGAAGGTCACTGCTATCACAGTGACAGAGAAGTGCATTTTTTCAGGAGGAAAACAAGGCTGAGAGATGAGATCCTGTGTGGAAGGCCCTCCCTGGGATGTCATCTGGCAGGGCCCCTACCCAGGGTCCTCTGACTTTAAGTTCAGGGTTTGGTCCTCTCTAAAATAGCTTCTGTAGGCCAGAACTCAACTCTAAGCAATACATGCCTCCAACCTCAATTCACCATATCTTGAAATAGCCTTTGGTGTAAAATTTTAAATTATTTTAAAGTCTTCAGAAATTTTATTTGCATGAAGAACCTTCTTTGCCACAACTCAGGTACATGTGTATTTTATATGCCTCCCAAATATATCCTGCAGTACACTAAACTGGACTGGCTGGTCTTCTTTTCCTCAACCCAGGTCCACTGACTTAGATGTGAAGTAGTCTCATCTGTCTATAGATGGATAGAGTAAATTCCACTAGTTGCGGTTCTCCAAGATAATCTCCAGAACAGTGGCTTGGAAACCTGGCTGCCTATCAGCATCAGGGAGAGCTTGCTCAAGTGCATGATTTCTTTTTTTTTTTTCTTATCAGCTTTATTAAGGTGTATTTAAGAAATGTACATTGTGTGTATTTTGGTGTACAATTTGATGTTTTTATTTATGTATATATTGTTAAGTGTTTATATCAGGTTAATTAATATATCCATCATCTCACACACATTTTTTCTAACAGTGAGAACATTAGGATCTACTCACTTAGCAATTTTCAATCATTAAAAAAAATGACATACTTAGTTAACATGCTATGCAGAATACTCATATCTTTTAAAAATTGTTATTATTTGTTCTAATTTGTTATATATGACAGCAGAATTCAAGTGCATGATTTCTGGACTCCACTTCAAAACCACTGAGTCAGAATCTCTGGGGGTAAGAACAGGGTCTCCAGATGGCTCTCACATAGCCACTTGGAAGTGACCTATCCCACATTCATGGAAAGATGCTAATGAGCATGTGGCTGATGGAAAGAGTCCACCACTGCAGCCCCATGAGGCTGCCTAGTCTGCACCCTCTTAGGTCTTATATGATGTTTTGGTCCAGCCAGTGATCTTGTCCTGTATGGGCTAACACTATTTCCACATTTTTGTTATTGTAGATTCCATAATGTCCACCCACAGAAATCCTATTGTATATTTTTGGCAGCTTAAATTTTTGCACAGGGCTATTGTGCAACTTCAATTAGAAAAAGGACATGAAAGTCCTGGGTAAACTGTAAAGTGTTGTACAAACGTAAAGGATTATCACTGTTATTATATTGTCCTTTACACACAGCCCAACACCCCCGCCAGTCCACCCATCCCTTTGCCTTCTGTGTAGCCTGGCAACAATCTCCCTCATTGGCTCTCTGGCTTCTGCGATGTCTTGGAGATGTCAGTTATGCATAAAGGTCCTCATTGTCCAGCATTTGAACACACCCACTTACTTTTTAGGTTTTCTGAACAATATATTGTTCCTTATTTGCCTCACACCCACCTAGGGTGATCTTCAAATTGGTACTCATTAGCATCAGAGCACAGGTTAGAGCAAGGTACCAGTATGGAACAGCAGGGTACAGTCATTTCCTTTTTCTTCCCCTAAAAGATGTCTGATCTAGCAATTCCTTTTCTTCCTTTCTTTTTTTTTTATACCAGGGATTGAACCCAGGGGTGCCTAACCACTGAGCCACATCCACAGATCTTTTTATTTTTTGAGACAGGGTTTTGCTAAGTTGTTTAGGGCCTTGTTAAGTTGCTGAGTCTTGTTCTCAAACTTGCAATCTTCCTGCCTCAGCCTCCGGAGTTGCTGGGATTACTAGTGAGTGCCACCACACTGGGCTAGCAATTGCTTTTCTAAATCTATGCTCACAAAAATCTATAGGTATTCAAATATGATACACAGTGATGCTCATGGAGCTCTGTGCTAGAAAAATACAAAAAGAAACCTACACATCTATCAAATGGATTGGTTAAAATCATGACATATTTGGGGCTGTCATGAGCAGTAGCACGCTCGCCTGGCATGCATGCGGCCCGGGTTCGATCCTCAGCACCACATACAAACAAAGATGTTGTGTCCGCCGAAAACTAAAAAATAAATATTAAAAAAAATCTCTCTCTCTCTTTAAAAAAAAATTATGACATATTCACCTGATGTAATTCTCTGCAGCAGCTAAAAAGAATGAAGTAGCTCCTTTCTTTGTGAGAGAAAGATTTCTATAATTTATCCGTATGTGAAAAAGGAAGGTTTCTACCAACTATTCATTTTAGATAAAACACATAAAAACATAACTACATGGGGCTGGGGTTGTGGCTCAGCGGTAGAGCGCTTGCTTAGCATGTGCAAGACCCTGGGTTTGATCCTCAGCACTACATATAAATAAATAAATAAAGATATTCTGTTTAACTACAACTAAAAAATAAATATTAAAAAAACATAACTACATACATAGTTACATTTCTATACTTGCATAAAGAGAAAAGTCTGAGAAGTTACTGAATAAGTAATTAGTTATAAAAGGCTAATTGGAATACATCTGACTATAGATTAAATGTTGTACATCATGCAGTTAATCTTCCATCAAAAAACAGGTACACTGTTAATGAAATGATATAATAGCTAATAGCTGTGTTGTGCAGTGGAGGGTAAAGAGTAATGAGTTGGGGTACAGATGAAAAAAACCCTGGTCATGTCTTGACATTTGTTGAAGCTAAATGAGAGCACATATGGACTTACCAATATAGTATTCCATATCCTTACATATTTGAAATTTTCCACAATAAAAACAATTTTAACCTGGGCATGGTGGTATACACCTTTGGTCCCAGCTATATAGTAGGTTGAGGTAGAAGAATCACTTAAGCTCATGAATTTGAGACCAACCTGGCTACCACAGTAAGAATCCCATTTCAAAGAAGAAAAAAATATTTTAAAACCTCACAAATTTTATTTTATGTTATTGTTTTGTTTTTAGTTATATATGATAGTAGAATCTATTATGATATAATTATACAAGCATAGAATTTGTCTTTTTCTAATTAGGACCTCATTATGTGGATGTACACGATGGTGGGATTTACTGTGGTGCATTCATATAGGTACATAGGAAAATCATGTCAGATCCACATTGTCTTTTCTTTCACTATCCCCCCATCCCTTCCTTTCATTCCCCTTTGTCTAATCCAATGAACTTTTATTCTTATTCTCCCCTACTTATTGTGGGTTAGTTTCTACATATCAGAGAAAACAAGTGAACTTTGGTTTTGGGTTCTGGCTTATTTTACTTAGCATGATAGTCTCCAGATCCATCCATTTACTGCAATAAAATGTAATAAAGTCATTCTTCTTAAGGGCCAAGTTTTGTGTGTGTATATATGTATATGTACATATATATATCTCACATTTTATTTATCCATTCATCTGTTGAAGGGCACATAGGTTGGCTCCATAGGTTAGCTAATTGTGAACTGAGCTGTGATAAAACATTGATGTGGCTGTGGCACTGCAGTATACTCATTTTGTTTATTTTTATTTATTTATTTTTATTTTTATTTTTTTTAGTTGGAGATGGACACACAGTATCTTTATTTATTTGTATGTGGTGCTGAGGATCGAACCCAGTGCATTATACATGCCAGGCAAAGTGCGCTACCACTGAGCTACAACCTGAGCCCCCAGTATACTCATTTTAAATCCTACATTTTAAATATATACCAAGAAGTGGGATAGCTGGGTTTAATGGTGATTCCATTCCTAGTTTTATGGGAGATCTCTATGCTGCTTTCCAGAGTAGGTGCATCAATTTGTAGTCCTATCAGCAATGTATGAACGTAAGTTTTTCACCACATCTTCACCAACATTTATTGTTACTTGTATTTTTGATAATTGCTATTCTGACTGGAGTGAGATGAAATCTCTGTAATTTTAATTCTCAATTCTCTCTAGAGATGTTGAACACTTTTTCATATATTCGTTGACCATTTACACTTCTTCTTTTGAGAACTGTCTGTTCATTTACTTTGCCCATTTATTGATTGGGTTGTTTTTTGGTGTTAAGTATTTTTAATTCTTTATATATTCTGGAAATTAATGCCCTGTCTGAGATGCATGTGGCAAAGATATTCTCCCATTCTATATGCTCTCTCTTCACATTCTTGA